TCCTGGGATCGAGCCCTGCATCGGGCTCCCTGCTCACTGGGGAGCCTGCTTCTCCCTCTCCCTCTGCCACTCCCCGTGCTTGTGCTCTCTCTGTGTCAAATGGATAAATAAAATCTTAACAAAAAACGAGAAATATTTGCACAGGCTTTGTGTACAATGACAAGACAAATTTCTGGGGGAAAGAAACTCTAAATGGCCATTAGCAGTCAACAACCTTTGGAAGGGGAAATGAGAGATGAAGTGTTCATATCATACCATGGACCACCCACTGGCCTTGAAACACAATGAGAGGAGCAAATCTGTACTGGCCAGGAGTTTTATTTTATTTTTATATATATTTTTAAACGGGGAGTAGCATGTAATAACTACCCCTAAGTCAACCAGTGTCTGTATGTGTATATGTATGTGACATGCAGTTTGTAAATACGGGTAACAGGGACAAGAGGGAAACACCTAATCCGGCTACGGTGGTCACCTCTGATGACCAAACTGATGAAGGCAAGATTTGGACAGCTTACTATGTCTTCGGGTGTAGCCAACTGTATTTCTAAAAATGGCCAAAAACCGATCCAAAGGTCCATGCTATCCTTTAATTTTTTTTTCAATTTATTGAGCTGTAAGTCGTATACCATCAAATTCACCCTTTTTAGCCGTATATGCACAAGGTTGTGCAAACCGTCACCAAGATCTAATTCCAGAACAAACCCTGTACCATTAGCAGTCCCTCCCCAATCCCGTCCCAGGAACCCTGGATATTCACTCGTCGGCTTCATGTCTCCACAGATTTGTCCATTCTGGATATTTCAACTAAACAGGATCATACATTATGTGGCCTTTGAGTCTGGCTTCTTTCACTTAGCATAATATGTTCAGGACTCATCCATGTTGTAGCAAGTATCACGACTCCATTCTTTTTTGGCTGAATATTATTCTACTGTATGTATAGGTCACCGCATGTGATATATTCATGACACGGTTGGCATTTGGGTTGTTTGCACTCTTCGACTGTTGTGATTAATGTTGCTAGGAACATTCGTATGCAAATTTTTGTGAGAGCTTATGTCCTCACTTGTCTTCGATAGATACCTAGGAGTGGGATAACTGGGTCACACAGCAATTCTGTTTAACTTTTTGAGGAGCTGCCAAACTGTTTCCCACAGCAGATGTTCCATTTTGCATCCCCACCAGCAATGTATGAGGACTTCAATTTTTGCACATCCTCCCCAACCCTTCTTATTTTCATTTTTGAAATTCTATCCATACTAGTGGGTGGGAAGTTGTAATTCATTGTGCTTTCAAGTTTTGTTTCCCTAACGACTGATATTTTTGAACATCGTTTCATGTCCTTATTGGATATTTGTATATCTTTTTTATAGAAATGTCTATTCAAATGCTTAGCCCATTTTTAATTGGGTTGTCTTTTTACCGTTAATTTGTAAGAAATCTTTTTACATTCTGAATACGGGACCCTTATTAATACACATATATTTTCTTCCATTCTTTGTTTCTGTTTTTTTCACATTCTTTTTTAAGATTTTATTTATTTGTGAGAGAGAGAATGAGAGACAGAGAGCATGAGAGGGAGGAGGGTCAGAGGGAGAAGCAGACTCCCCACTGAGCAGGCAGCCTGATGTGGGACTCGATCCCGGGACTCCAGGGTCATGACCTGAGCCGAAGGCAGTCGCTTAGCCAACTGAGCCACCCAGGCGCCCCGTTTTTTTCACATTCTTATGGTGTCCTTTAAAGCAAAAATTTTTTCTAATTTTGAGGAAGTCATTTTTATCCATTTGGCATTTATTATCTGTGCTTTGGTGTCATAGCTAAGAATCCATCACCTAACCCAATGTCACAAAGATTTACTCCTATGCTCTCTTATAGAAGTTTTATAGTTGTAGCAGTGGAAATTGCTGGATCCAAGGTTCCTTTGGCTACTACAGAAACATCTCTGGAGTACCTACTTGTGTACCTGATACTGTTCTAAATGCTGGGGAGACATCACAGAAGACCCACATGTGCTCCTCTTTTCATGAAGCTGAAATCATACTGAGGGTGGGGACAGGGTAGAATCAGATTTTGAGTTTTGGTCCCTTTTGGCTGAATTTCTATCTATGCTAGGAAGTTTGGATTCAAATTCATTCTTTAAATGTGAGTATCTAGTTGTCCCAGCACCATTTGGGACATGTAATTGTCTTGGCACTGCTGCCCACAATGAACTCACCGTGGTTGTATGGGTTATTTCTGGGCTCTCAGTTCTATTCCGTTGATCTCTATGTCCATCCTTACATCAGTACTACATCGTATTGATTACTGGAGGTTTGAAATAATGGTTGAAATCAGAATGCATGAGTCTTCCACCTTTGGTTGTCTTCTGCGAGATCGTTTAAGCTGTTCTGGGGCCCTGAAATTTCCACATGAATTTCAGGATCAGTCTCTCAATTTCTAAAACACTGCAGTTAGAATATCGATAGGGATTATACTGAATGCTTGGATCAATTTGGGGAATGTTGCTAACTTAACATCAGGTGTCCCAATCCATGAACACAGGAGGTCTTTCCATTCATTTAAGTATGCTTTAATCTCTTTCAACTGTGTTTTGTAATTTTCGGTGCATAACTCTCACACCTGTTCGGTTAAATTAATTCCTAAATCTGTCATTCTTTTGACTCTACTGTAACTGAAATTGCTTTCTTTTCTTACTTATTTGGATTGTTCACTGCTAATGTATAGAAATAGAATTGATTTTTGTGAATCAATCTAGTTTATGCTAGGGTTAAACTAACTATAGCAACAACAGAACTGAAGTCCAACTTGACTAACGAAAAGATCGACTCAAACACCGACACCCTCTGATGAAAAAGCAAACAAGAGGGACACATTACATACAAGGGAACAAACAGGATGGCAGGCTACTTACTCCTCAGAATCCATGTGACCCAGAATTTTCGGATTCATGCAAATGCTTCTGAAAAATGAAGGTGAAACAAAAACTTCAAAACAAACAAAAAAGCTGAGGAAATGCACAGCCAGCAGATCTGCCCTACGAAACAGGTTAAAGGAAGTACTTCGGGAAGAGGCAAATGATATCCAAAGAAAATCAGGGATCTTGGGGCACCTGGGTGGCTCAGTCGATTAGGCGTCTGCCTTCGGCTCGGGTCATGGTCCCGGGGTCCTGGGATCGGGCCCCGCGTCGGGCTCCCTGCTCGGTGGG